AAAAAAAAAAAAAAAAAAAAAATTCCAATTCTCCATCGACAATGAACGATACTTCGCCAAGAACGAGACCTCGAAAAGATAAGAAATCGAGAGCGCGGAAGAAATTNAAAAAAAAAAAAAAAAAAAAAATTCCAATTCTCCATCGACAATGAACGATACCTCGCCAAGAACGAGACCTCGAAAAGATAAGAAATCGAGAGCGCGGAAGAAATTTTCGGACACACTGATTGAGCGTAAGAACACGGTAAAGTGGGTATAAAGAGGCGGGTCGTTGAAACAAGTTTCGCCTCTTGAACTCGAAGACAGAAACAGCGGGCGCGCGTGTAAAGAAACAGAGGATGAGGATCCTCTTCATGGTATCTTGTACGACGCATACTCGCAAAAGTAGACTTAGTGTACGTACACAGAATGTAGGGACACGAACCACGAAGCTTACGCTTGTACCACGGCCTAGGAACAGGTATATATACAGCGTGCGTATACGTATAACATGGTTTGTACACACATCGAGGAGGATATAGACCGTGGTAGTTTCCGCTGCAGGGCCTCGAGTTGGCAAAACTTTGGTCTACGTAGTTCCACTACTACTTCCAGCCTTGCACGAATGCAGTTGAAACGTTCAAGACTTTTTGTCTTCCTTTTTTTTCTCTCTCTTTCATCACGTATTTTTCTTTACGATAGGATATTTTAACGATTGTCGTTCGCGAAAAACGCTATTAACATTTGCCGGAATGCACGAATAAACGTATACTTAAGGGGTTAATGGGGTAAACGGAAATTTAGTACGAGATTTAATCATTCTTTAATGGTGTGCTTACCGCGAGAATGTTATTAATACCCTAGGGAACCTTTTATAAGAGGTAATGTTACCTATTTAGTCGTGACACGTTTTTTTGTTACCGACCGTAGGTTCTTATAATTGTTCCCTATACCGATCTTCGGTCAATTAGGAGATATAAAAATTTCAAATTTTTTTTTTTTTTAAGGACTAGAAGTAATATTTCGAGAGAAAATATTCGTGTTATTCTTACATCTAAAGATCTCTTTTTCTTTGAGTTTTCGTTACCAATTTAAATTGTAATTATCCTTATGATTCTTTGATCAATTAGAAAAAGAAAAATTTTGAAAAGTTTTCTTTTTCTCGATATTATAACTAAAAATAATATTTTAGAGAAAAATCTTTCGTGTTATTTTTATGACGCGAATACATTTGAGAATAGAACTTTCAAAAGTTATCGATAATTATTTTTCGCTAGTAAATACAATGTATCACGGCCTAGGATTTTTTTTCTCTATTATTAATATAAATTTTTGTAATTCTTCCTGTATCATTGCAAATTTAAAAAAATCTTTCTCGATAAAAAAAAAGTAATTAAAAGTAATAATTTAAAACTCTCGTTATTCTCTTTTCCAAACCTGCTTTCCTTCCTATATTTCTCAACACAAAAAAGCTCAATTAGGTAGGCCAGCTTTACCCTACTTTCTTAAACGCACAATATCGGTATTTAAACAAACAGCGTGCACGCGAAAAAGGAATTACCGTTAAATGCAACGAAAAGTTTAATCCGTCGTTGCAATTTTTTTTTTTTCTTCGTTTTTTCTTTTTGTAAACTGCATCGAACTGCTTTTCCTCTGAATACACAAAACCGCTCACGTGCAACTTGCGTCGCTTTTCTACCTGACGATGACGCTTTTCTTACGAGCTTTACAAACTCGTTAGCGTTCGCTCACTTAAGAAACTCGTTAGCAACCTAAGTAGTGAATTAAGCATATATCTTCTCGTCTCTTCTTTCGCTCACGATAGTGCGTCCACCTTCCGGCTACTTCTCTCTCCGTCTCTCTCTCAGCGTTGTGTCACTATCGCTCCCCTCCCCTCTGTCTCTCTCTTCCATGCTTCCTCTTCCCTCACAAGCGGAGTAGTGGTGGCTTCCATTCACCCACTCCACTTTGACGGTAGTTTTCTTCGTTCAATTGCATTAGTCTGTGGTTTCGACCTGGTTAAAAGTTCTACCTGGATTCGTTTAGATCTGAAAAGTTGCAACTTCTTGCCCTGAGAAATAATGTTCTTTCCATTTCACGATTTCTCTTCGTCGATCTTCGCGGTTTGACTGACGAGAGGAGGATTTATACACGTTCATTGTACATCATTTTCGATCGTAGAAAAATGTCGTAGAATTTTTTTTTTTTATTATTATTATTTCGTTATTTAGTTCGAAACTTTTTTGAATTTCGTTACTCTTTTTTGTCGATTTTTGTTATCCTTTTAGCTTGATACAAGAATTATATATTTGTCGTTTGTTGTATATATTATAGATATTTTGAGAAAAATGTCATCGAATTTTTTTTTTTAATTATTTCGTTATTTAATTTTACAAATAACATAGAATATAGATTATTAGATTATAAAATAATTTGACTTTACTTTATACGAAGATGTATACAAAGTACTTGACACGTTTTCGTTTCGAAAATTAATTTGTGTTAATCGAATTTTGAATAATTAAATTTTAAGAATATTTCATTCGTGGAGCTACTAATTAAAAAGTAATTTAAAACAATTTTTTACAAACTTATTACGAAAAACAACTTGTTACATCGTTGATAAAATAAGGAACAAGAATATTTAAGGATAATAACAATAGATATTATTTCAGTATATCTATAATATTGATTTTTATGCAATAGAAAAGAAAGTTTAAATTTATAATACTATTGATGTATCCATATCAATGGATATTTGCGTCTTATTTTTACCTAGTATCACATCTAATCTTCTTTTTTTTTTTAATTTAAACAATAGAACAGATAATTTATTTTTTATATCATATATGATACTTCAAAACAAACGATTTTTAAAAATAAATCAAAAACAAGAAAATAGAATAATGCTAACAATTCTCAACATCAATCGCTCTTACAAATTTTATCTTATTACCATACACGCTAAAAACTTTTTCAAAAATATCAAAAAAGTTATTCCAATATCCTTGCTAACAATTCCACATCCACAAAATTAATTCTCTTTTACACGCAACAATTCATTTTTTCAAAAATACACAAACACACACACAAAAAAAAAATAGCCAAAAATCCTTGCTAACATCATCAAACCTACCAACTAGTCTCTCTCTGCCAACCGCTCTCCAATCAAAATGGTGGAAAAGAATCGAGGTGGAGGAACGATAAAAAGCGATCGGTAGCAAAGATAGGATAAGAGGATAGGAGGGGATTTTCGAGGAAAACATGCAGAGAGAGGGGTTTTCTCGGTGCGCAGGTGGCGGCAGTTTCGAGAAGCACGAGACGTACAACGGTTCGGTGCTGCAATTCCATCGTGTCGAGAGGCGACAAATGGGGGCGTATCTGTGCATCGCCAGCAACGACGTGCCGCCCGCCGTTAGCAAGCGAGTGACACTCGCCGTGAATTGTAAGCTTGCTTTCCTCCTAATCCCTGATTCTACCCGCCGGAAAAGCTCCCGACAAAAGGCAAAGCAACTTGGCGTTAACACCAGCTCACGAATCGTTCGTGTAATTGCCTTTTCGAGTTTTTTTTTTTTTTTTTTCTTTCTCTTTCATGGATATCAAATTATTAAGGTTAAAGGTCAGAGAACTGGACGAGAAAATTTTTTTGCCGTGATTCTTTGAAAAATTTCTTTGAGTTGACAAGTAGTAGAAATTAATTAAAATATTTAGATTGGATTCTCGCGTTTCTTGAAAAATTTGTCGGTAAACGTTTCTTTGAGCAACGAAAATTAATTTAAAATATTTAATTATAATATATATTAAATATATAATAATATAATATATTAAATTAATAATAATAAATATTTATTATAAAATATAAAACGTTTCTTTGAGCATTTGAAAATTAATTTAAAATTAATTTAGGTTGCGTTCTCATTGAAGCGATAATGTTTCTTGAGAAATTTTTTGATAAACGTTTCTCTTTCAACATTTCTCATTGAAGGGACGATGTTTCTTGAAAAAAAAATTTCATGGCAAACGTTTCTTTGAATTAACAAAAATCGAAAATTATCGTTTCGATAAAATATTAATATCTTTTCTTGAAAAATTTGTTGATAAATATTTCTTTGAGTTGATATTAATTAATTAATTAAAATATTTAGATTGCGTTCTCATTGAAGCTACGATATTTCTTGTTGTTCAAACGTTTCTTTGAGTTTAATGAAAATTGTTTCGATAAAATTAAAATTGCTTCCTTTTTTGAAAAATTTGTTGTTAAACGTTTCTTTACTTAGTACTTTCTTCGAGTTGACAGTAATGAAAATTAATTAAAATATTTAGGTTGCATTCTCATTCAAACGACAACGACGATGTTCCTTGAAAAATTTGTTGGTAAATATTTCTTTGAGCAATGAAAAATTGTCGTTTCGATAAAATATTTTGATAAGGTTGCGTCCTTTCTTGAAAAATTTGTTGATAATATAATAAAACGTTTCTTTGAGTTAACAGTAATGAAAATTGTCCCTTTGATAAAATATTAAGATGCGTCCTTATTGAAGCGATAATAGAATGACGAATTTTATATTGATACTTTTTTGGAAAATTTGTAAATTTTTCTTTGAATTGTAATAATAATGAAAATTAAAATGTTTAAGTTGAATTCTCATTGAAACGACAACGACGAATCTTACATTGATATTTTTGGAGAAAAAAATTCGTTAACAAATTTCCCTTCAAGTTTTTCTGCTAAATGATAAAAATTGCTATTTTTGTTCATAAAGAAAGATAAATATTAGTAAAAAAAAAAAAAAAAAAAAGAAACGGAATTTATATTTCTTCATCAATTAAAATATTCGAAAAAGCCAGAATTAAAAATAATCTTGATAAAAAAAATTATAAAAATTAAAGTTGAGAATAAATTAAAATCGTAATATACGATAGTGAAAGAAAAGATATTGAATTTGCAATAATGCAGAAATTCCGTATACTTTTCAATAGAAAAAATTAAAAAAAAACTAAAAAAAAAAAAAAAACGAACTTGAAAAAGCAACCAACAACTTTTTCTCAAAAAGAAAATAACACGAAACACAAAAAAAAAACTCGCCGCATATCTTCAAGACACGAGTTGAAACGAACGAGATACGAAATCTCTGGCAATTTGTATACACGGTTTCCTAATTCGACGATGGCCGATGGTCGATAACATTCGTGCGACTTGGTCTATGACGCGACCGTTTAAGAAAAAGATCGTCCGAGAGATCGAATCGGTTTTCCGTTTCGCGAGAGAGGCGGCGAAGAAAGAGATTCGAGATCGGTTATCGGGATGAAACGAGGGGGGATAAAGAAAAGCGTACAAGTTGTCCGTGGATTTATCACCTCTCGCAATAACGCCTCCCCCTCCTACGTTTGTCCACGCTTTTCCAATTGTAATTTCGTTAAAATCGCGAAAGGAATGTAAATTTTAATATTCGATCCTTTCGTTGCTCTCTCAAAGTGGAAACAAAGTAACTGGAACGATGATCAACGGTGAAAAAGTTTTCTCATAATTCTTATGCAGTTCCGTAAACGATATTTCCCGTGAAAAGAATGGATAACGTTGATCCGCTACGAGTTTCAATAATGCTCATTGTTGGTGGAATAATCGAGAGGAGGAGAAATTATCCGTCATTGGTTGGGAGCTTTTTCGCGCAGATTTTCAATCGTATGGAATCGTTTATTGTGAACAGAATGCATGGATTTTTATGTAGCTAAAAACGTATTCAAAAGATATTATGTATGTATTCATTGAAACAACCAGACCATTATTACATTCATTCGAAAAATCGTGAAATTTTCGTTCAAATTTTCAAATGTAAAAGTCGTGAAAAGAAACTGAAAATTGTCATGAAAATCCATTCAAGAGATAGAGGAAGCCATGCCCTTAAAGCCACTTTTTGTTTTATTCCGATATTTCAACCGGTTGCCGAGATATAAGGATTCGAAGTTTTCATAATGCAAGAATTATAAATGGGTCCGCTTGGGCCTTATGATATCTACGCGATATCCAAGAATCGCGTTTGTCATTTGTCTGGAATTTAAGATAGATCGTGAGATGAGTGCGAGTGAGAGATCCGATGAAAATGACAAGGACGAGGATGGTAAACGATTAAAAATTACCCTTTTCTTTACACGATGATATCTCAAGAACCGGAAAACGTATCAAGATGAATGAAAAATAGTTTTAAAGAATAAAGTTCTGTGCTACTAACGATCGCTCACTCGTTCAGCGGAAGTTATTAATTTTAAAGTTATACCGATTCAAATTTTTCCTAATTTTAATAAGGAAAATTTCATTTAATCGATTTTAGATGAATTGAATTGCTAAAAATTATCCTTTTCTTTACACGGTGATATCTTGGCAACCGGAAATCGTATTAAAATAAATTTAAAGATATTTTAAAGAGCAAAGTTTTGCGCTTCTAACGATCGTTCACTTATTCACCGGAAGTTACTATTTTTGAAATTACAACGGTTCAAATTTTTATTAATTTTAATAAATTATACGATAATCGTTCGTGGATATTTTATGATTGAAAAAAGCGTGTCATTAAGAATCTGCATTTCAATTATGCAAATGACGTAAGTCAAAAATGTAAAGGAAACGAATAATTTACCTTCCTAATAAACGATCCATACGATAATACATGCCGTGTTTAATAATTTTTATTCACTACGGATATTCTTGATTAATTTTAAATTCGATTAAAATCGATTATAATTCGAATGTATCATTATTTAACGAAAAACACGTATGTTTATATATACATAGAATAATTTATATCAATATCCAATGATCACACGCCAATCGAAATTGATACTGATACCGGTATTAATTATTCCAAGACAAAAGGTACAAAACGAGAATTAATTATTCTCAATTTTCATAACGTGAAATAGATTCCAATAATAATTTAGCATTGTACCGCCGATGTTAATAATTAAATATCCGTATATCCTTTATACTTTAATATCGATACATTTTTTAACAATGCCATCAAACCGTAATAATACCTTGGCAAATATTACTTTCGAAATGGATTATCGTGGCGCGTTAAAAGCCCGCATAAAATTATCATACGCAAGTTGTTGTGATTTTACACCCGTACACATTGACAGGCGCATTTCTAAAATCGTAAATTATCCTCAAACGGCTAAAGGGGCTAAAGGGGATCGTTTAATGTATTAATAATAGGAAAATAACGAATAACAAATTGTATCATGTAATTTGCATTGTTTCAATGAATAAACGTCACTATTCCCGTTGAAATATTATCATTTTGCAAACGAGAACAACGAGGATATACGATTATTTGAAAATAACGAAAATGAAAAAAACTGTTTTTATCAATTCCACGTTTTTAATTGAATTCATCGATGTAATAATAATCGATGACCTCTCGATAAATTTTCAAAATTATCTTCAATTTTAATCCATTTTGCCTGTCAATTAACAAGTTTGTTTTCATATGATAAAATTAAAAAGAAAAATTTAAAAAAAAAAAAATACAAAAATTTAAAAAGATTTTAATTAGTCCCACCTAATAACGAAAATAATTAAAACAGACACGTTGATTGATTCTTAATAATCATAATGAATATTCTACAATATACAGTGTACATATTATATATATCATGAGCGGTCAATACTATGAAAACGCAAAAAAGCAAATTAATATATCTTCACGATATCTAGCATGCACGAAAACGTTAATTAAAACGTTGACGAGCCGTGTAACGAGATGAATATCGGCTAATTAATTTGAAATCGCTTTCACAGTTGCACCTGTCGTCAAAGCGCCTAATCAGCTTCTGGGCGCACCTTTGAGCACGGACGTGCAGCTAGAATGCTACGTCGAGGCATTCCCAAACACAATTAATTACTGGGTAAAGAACCGGCGGGGCTTAGAGGACGAGATGTTGCTCGAAGGGTAAGGCTATATCCGTTCTTTTCTAATCTTAAACCTCGATTCAGCATATACGTGGGAGCATTTCGATAAAATAGCTGGCAAAAAGAAAAAAAAAAATTTCATTGTTGAATTGCAGACTCAAGTACCGTGTGAGGGAAGAACGATCCGGATACAAAGTTCTGATGTGGTTGTTAATCAAAGGATTTACCGAGCAGGACGTAGGCAGTTACAAATGTGTGTCGACCAACAGTCTTGGCAAAGCCGACGGCACTTTAAGGTTATACGGTAAGGTTCTGTTACTTTTATATAGATTTGAATAAATATATTTTCTTATTTTTTGATTAGAATAAGTAAAATAAAATTTTCTGTTTATATATATATATATTTTAAGAATTGTTTTACTATGAATTATATAGAGTATTAATATATTAATAAGAAAAATAAAAATTTTATTATATATTTTTTTTTTAAATCAATATATAAATATTGTTAATATATTCGTGGGATATTTTCAAAAGATTTTAGAAACTAAAACAAATACGAAAGTTAGCAAAATGATCAATTATTATATAGACTATAAACAATTAAAATTAGATAAACTATCTCATTCTGTTTTTATGATATTGCTTCATTTTATTTCTTTAAATATTTGTAAATAAATCTAACTTAACTTAACTTAATCAAACGATTTCAATTTTTGTATAACTTTTGTGTTTATTTTAAGCTAAAAATTTATCAAAAATATTCCACAAATATATTAATACTTTATAGATATAATTTAATATATTCTATTTATTTCAATCTCTCTCTCTTTCTCTCTCTCTCTCTCTCTCTCTCTCTCTCTCTCTCTCTCTCTCTCTCTTCGAATGATTTGAAAATTAAAATAATTTTAACGAAAATATTAGTGTACATATATACATATATCATTTTCAGAAATTAAGATCGGTTTCGACAGATCATCACGAGGAAAGGATCACGTATCTATAATCGGCGGTAAGCTCTCCTTTTCACGACGATGACTATTATCAAATAAATACGCAGCATGAAATAATATCGATTGTACCGTTCAGGTTTAGCCGAAGCGGCGCAAAGTTCAGGCGCCGGTAACAGCTTTAAAGGATTATTTGGATGTTGGAAAAAGTTATCGCATTATTTATCGATGTGTCTGTTCATATCAGTGCTACTCTGGCCGCGGTGAAGAAGGCATCCTCTGTTGATCACTGCCAAACTGAGTGCCGGATAACTTTGTGCCAAAAGACAAAAAATAAAAGCAAGAATGTGTGAATGTGTGTGTTTGAGCATAATACAAATCAAAGAAAGAGTATTTGCAATTCTAAAAAGAAAAAAAATTCGATTTGAATGTGTGTATGAGAGAGAGAGAGAGAGAGAGAGAGAGAGAGAGAGAGAGAGAGAGAGAGAGAGAGAGAGAGAGAGAGAGAATGGCGAACCAAAGAAAGAAAAAAAAATAAAAATCGGAGGTTCGTATTCTCTACACATCTTCCTATTTCCCCCTTTCCTACTTCCAAATGTTGAAAACATTTTTAGATCAATGGATGTTGTCAATGTATGCGCCCATTTAGATTTGCAAATTCATTTTGCTAAATGTCGATTTACAAAATCGATGGATCGATGGAAAGACGCACCGCAAAATAAATAATATTAAAAAAAAAATACAAGACTTGGAAACGCTGAAGCAGCTTGGCCCTTCCTAATAATGCTTTAATGAGACGTTGATAATAAGTACATTTCACAATCATCTTATCATTGGTATCAGCGTTGCGGATATTTAGACGTCAGGAAATTCGATGTTTCGAAATAAAAATATGCGATCGAACGTTGTATATATATTGTTTACAATTGCATATAACCTTATATCTCACTTCCTTTTCCTCATTTTTTCATAATAATTTTTATATATTTTCGAATAGATACATATCTACCATATCACGATGAAGGTAAAATAGTTCTATAGGATCTTTATCTTAAAGTTTTATTTTGAAAAGAAAATTTCACAAAACTTTCTATGTACCAAAATAAAACTAAGAAAATATAAATAAAGGGACCAAAAATATTTTTAAACTGAATTTATTTCATGATAAATCGTACGATAAATTATCAAAAGAAAAAAATATTTTTTTAAAAAGAAATTTTTAATATCCACTTTGAATATTTTAAAATATTGAAACCTATATATTTTTTCATCTCAATTTTTAGAAATATATACTTATCATGTGGCAGCACTTGCTGTGCACTTTTGATAAGTTATATTGTTCGATATTATCAACTGAAGCTCAATATTTGCTACGAAAATTTGTTACACTTACCTCTAATCTCTAAAATATCAATCATCATGGCGTCTACGTTTGAAATCCTTTTTCCGCCTTCTAAATCGTTGCAGCAATTATCTAATGATCTAATCACAAAAGAAAATAAAAAATTTAAAATAAATGTATCAAATGTATTTACAAAAATTTTAATTATATTGAAATAAGACAAAAATCAAGCTAAAATTTCATCTTTGAAATCTATAATGTGAATTATTTTCCAATCTAAATAAATCGATAAAAAAAAATAATTTAATTTCAAAAGATCAACTATGATAATAAATATGTTATTAATTGAATATTATTATATAATAAAAAAATATAGCTTTGGAAAATAAAGTAAATATACACCAGAAAAATTACACATGGCACGAAGAGAAACGACGTCTAAACACTACAAATGTCGACACAATAATGAAATCTTGCGCCGTTATGCCTATTGAATTTCAAATTGGAGAGGGGATAGTTTGGCAACAAATCGTGTAAGCACGAATCACTAGAAAGATTGTGGTAAGAAATATTTTCAGTAAGAAATATTTTCAATGAGAAATATTTTATATTTTATATATTTTCAGTGAACATTTTTTTTTTAAGTATACATAACAAATGCATAAATATATAAATAAAAAAAAGACAAAGAATGCGTCTTAATTTAATTCAATGAAATTGATCGTAATAAATAAAAGACAATATTACATACCTATATCTAATGAAGTTATATTTTCGATAAAAGAAATTGTAGTTATGTGTCAAAATTTTTATAAATATGTATAAAGAAAGATTAAATGCAAACGGCACGATAAACTATGTTTGATCATTTGTAAATGTGATTCTTTCGAAATAATAAACAATTTTACAATAAATTATCATTAAACAACGAAGTATTAATTATAAAAAGTTAACAATAGTCTATAAATTATATCAATAAAAATTTTGCAAATATCACGCACTTTTATCGATTCGAAAACAACACATCCTGTCACAATTTTTAATAACGGAATAATGTCACATACTGATTGCTTATTGGCTTTTCTTATTGGCTAAAGCAATGATACGAATTTATATAATATTCTCTTCTATTCAAAACTGCACCGAAAATAAAAATATCGTATAATATGCATTAATTATACATTTAATTATATAAAATAATTTAAAGAATAAAGGGAAATAAATTATATAAATAAATTTTAATATTTTATTCTTTATATTTTTAATATTATAGAAATCTATGATTTAAACTTATATATTATGCAATATAATATAAAAATATATGATTTTATTTTTAAAAAAATAATCGAAAGAATAATAAATAAATTAATTTTGATATTTTATTCTTGTTATATTTTTAATAAAATAGAATAAAAATATTAAAATTAATTTATTTATTATTCTTTTAATTATTTTTTTAAAAATTATGTATTTTTTTATTATTTAGATAATAAAATATAATTTGAAATATTCGAAAATAAAATAAATATACTGAAATTTTTCTATATTATATATATGTGTACATTATATAATAAGTATAGTACAGTTAGAACAAAGTAATTATAATAAAGTATAATTATAGTAAAGATAATATATGCGTTCGATGCGACATCTTGTTTATTTTACTACATCTTGTGTAGTAGTGAGTTTAGAAGTGATTTTAATGAATGTCGAAATCTTCATTTAATTGACGATATTTTTAAATTGAAAAAAAAGTTTTAAATAGCCGTATGTATATCTAACTATTTTATATCTATCTTCTTGCAATATTTTTAAAAAATATTTAACATTCTGAAAGAAATAGAAATATAAAATATTTAAAATCCTAACCTATAATTGTAATTCAAAAACGAAATTTTTAAAGAAAAATTAATATTATAGTTCAATTTTTTTAATATTAAATATCATTATTATCATTATTAGTAAGTTATTTATATTTTTTATCTGATAGGATGACAAAATTTATTTCAATTACCAATGGAGAATATAAACAAAGTGCAACTGTTAGAATGGAAAAGACCAGACGAAGTAATGCAGTTGCATCGTCTAAAAATGAAAAAACGTGCACTTCAAGCACGTATAAATAATACACGCATTAACAGAGAAAATTCAAAATTAGGATCTACTCAAAAAACAATTGAGAATAAACAAAATATTGAATCTAACGAATGTGTAGGTCAAAAGAGAAAAAATCCTTTTGCTAAGGATGAAATAAAAAATAAAAAATTGAATGTAACATCTCCAGAATTGGAAACTAGTAATGATAATACATTATTTGAATTATTAAAACTTAAAACTCCTAAAAAAAATAAAATTGAGAATTTAATGCTTGATTGTCCATTAACATTCAGTAATGCATTTCTACAATTGGAAACAAATAAGAATATTCTGGATTCAGAAATTCCAAAAGGAGAAAAATATATTCCAATGGATTGGACTTTAAAAACTAAAATGAGATTTATGTCCCCAAAACCATTTCCATGGAATTGTAAATTGAAAACTAGCGAAGAAGCATCGGGTACTACTGGTTTTGTAAGATGTTTGGATATTAGTGAACAAGATTCAACTTTAGATACTAGTCCAAATGCAAGGTAATTTTTATAATATTTTGTTTTATATATTTTAATTCAATAGAAAAGACAGATCAATTGATTAAAATATCTATTGATCAGATTGCACAGATGTTGTTTAATATGGCAACATCCTTCATTACCATGGTTAGAATTATTTCCTCGCTCTGCTGGCAAAGTGAGTGCAAATTTAACAAGTAATACAACAATAGTAAACAATATAGCCATCAAAGAAGCTTTATATAAAGAATGGAGTGAAAGTTTTAGATCTCTTTTTCATTTATTAAGAGCACGGCAATGTCCATATTTTTATGTGTGTGCAAACAATTTTACTGTATTATTCCGTGCTGCTGGAATATGTGGAATTTCTGAAGCTCATGCACTTTTGACACCTACAACACGTGGTTTTAGAGAATCTCTGAAACAAGAAGGTATAAAAAATATATATATATAATATATTGGAAAAATTCCATATTATTTTATTATCTTTTTATAGAAATTGAATATACAATGCCTTTGAAAAAAGATTCTAAACGACGATCAGATACAATTGATTCAGGATGTGATACTGTGGATTCAACATTATCAAATATATCAAACTTTACTGAGAATGAAAATCCTGATGATGAAGAAGATCAAACACAAGATGAATGGTTGGAAAGTCTAGGAGTTGAAAATTCTGAAATTCGTAAAATTAATAATTCTCAGGTAATTTTCAAATACATGCAATTTTGTTTTAACACACTATTTATAAATATATAATTTCATTGCAGGCAAGAATAACATTAGAAAAACAAACTGAAATAGATAATATGAAACAATCTCTTATTTTTGTAAAAGGTGTTGATGCACAAGCTTTATTTAATTTTTTAATTAATTGTAAATCTGCCATTACAACAAGTGGTCCTTTGGCAGGTGTGCCTCCAACTCTTCTCTCACCAGTAGCTTTTCATGGTGCAACTTTAAAACCAATTAAGGTATCATACTTTAATATTTAATATTTAATATTTATATTTATAAAAATAATAATAAATAATATAAATATTTATAATAATATAATATAAATTGAAAATTATTATATTTCATTTTTAAAGGTTAAAGAAAGTACAGTTCGTGTTGACAAAGAAAGATATTTTTCTTTGGAATTAAAAGGACCACTTTTGCCTCATGTGTTGCCTTCTCTTTGTTTTTTAATGAAATCTAGCCAGCTAGAACAATATTCTGCCAGTTGTGCACAATTAGGTTCGACAACTTCATTTTCAGCAATGAAACAGAAATTTGGTATATATATATATATATATTTTTTTTCAAAATTATGATTTTTTTTTTGTAATACAAATATTATATAAAGAACTAATAATTTTTTTTTTCACAGAACAAACGGAATCCAAAAATGTACCAATTCCAGAATATGTTTTTGGCAAAGAAAATTTGAGCGATTGTGGATTTAATAGTGAATTATTAAAACATTTTTGTAGTCCTGATCCAGCCTATGTTCAAATTATAGAAAATATTAAATTTTCAAATAATTTGTATACATGGTCTTGACAAATAATTGTTAATGTTAAAAGCAGAGCTTAATCAGTTATGCTTAAATTTTAATTTAAGAAAAAGAAATATTTTGTATTTTTACTTTTGTAAATAATTTTAAATGTTATGATAATATAATTTATTTTCAAATTAATTATTAATTAATAATATTAATTCAAATGAAAATAATTAATTGATTTTAAGATTAAAAATTAATATTAATTTTAACATATTTATATAACGAATTAATAAAAATTATGAAAATGCCTTATCATAATTATCATGTGTAATTATAATAATAACATTTTTTATTATTGTTGATATTAAATTTTATATATTGACTAAAATAATGATAAAATATAAATTATAAATAAAAATTATAATAAAAATAAAATTATATCAATGTATTTATTTTTCTAAGAATTGTTTATTTAAAGAAATTTAATCAGCTGTGCAATAAATATTTTAAAACTAATTAAAGAAATTTTTATTTAGTTTATTTTTAGATATGTATTAACATTTATTATCTACAATTATTTAAATTAATAAATTATATAATTTTTAGATAACATATATATATATTATTTCAATCTTTTAAATTACTATAACTTTTTAACTATTCGATACAAATTAGATTTTTTTCCTATGTAAAATATTTTTTAATAACAAAATATAATTGTTATAAAATTGTTCTTACTTTCTACGTTTTATTACATTTTATTTTTTTTATTTTTCCTATTTATTTCTTTAACTTCATAGAACAAACTAGATTTATAAATATATTCATAATAATAATTCATTAGAGACAAATTTTCGAACGGGGGCGCGACGAAGGTGGGGTTCATGGATGGACTACCCCTAAAAATAACGAATCGATATTCGCTCGCTGCCCCCGAATTGGTCGCCCGGTCACCTCGAGCGTGAACAATCAATTATATATTGTAATAAGATATTGTTTTATTTATTTTTCCATATTTAATTTAATATATAAATATAAAAATATCTCTTCACTACTTGGCGATAAAATTCAAGTTTCTCTCATTTAATTTCAATTATATCATTCAAGATTTCAAATTTGATGAAAGAGATTTTTTTTAAAATTATATTAATACATGAATCCAGATATAGAAATTGAATACGACTATTATAATTTACGCGTACGTATGTAGGTTCGCATCAAATATGAGCGTCTACATAAATGTGATGATTACGTCAGTGCCCATTGCAGTCAGTGTTCATCGTATTGCGATATTCTTTAACGAGCAGTTATATGTTCCAAGGTCTTTTATACGAGTTTACTTTTTGAATCGAATAATGCATCGATAATATTGCCCTCGAGAACTTTGTTGAGAAACGATACTCGTATACCAAAAATCTTCTTTGCCATCCATTTGAAAATTGGCTTTTCCTCCAATTTAAAGCTGAATTTCTTTACGAAAGCATCTTATCAAACCACTAAAAACATTTTAAATCCTTCATTGTAAATTGAGAATAAAATGAAAAAAAAAGAAGGAATATCATACATATAAAAATAAATAAAATATAATTAGTTTTGAATATCAGCCAAAATGAAAAATTTTAATTGCTGAATAATCATTCCGTTTTTAAAAAATACTATGATTTGTATTTATGATAATACGATATTTTACAATATTCGTTGAAATACTAAAGAGGTCGTGTAATATGTGGGATAAAATTTTTCTCGAGAGTGAAACAAGCTCGAATCTGAAATACGAAAAAAAAAAGCATGGTTAGGGCGGTATAGAGAGGCAGAGGGGAAAGTCCCTTCTCGCGAACGTCCGATCAGGCCTGCCGAGAAGCAACCCTCGTACATAGGAGGGTTCAGGGTGGATAAAGCTGCTGGATACGTAGGGGGTAAGGGATTCGCGCGAGGGGAGGGGGCCACGGGCGGGGGAGGAAGAATGTACGGTCGTGTTGGTGTTGCGCGTGTTTTACACTGAACCGAACTGAAGCTAGTAGAACGGCGAAAGAGAAACAAACGCTTCGATCTGACGCGTTGCGCGGAACGAGGATAGAGATACGGACAAAGAGAGAGAAGTACGCGGAGGAACGAAGAGCGAGGTAGACGATAAAAGTGCGCGTAGAAACGAGACAGAGGTGAGAAAGGTACGTGGGAGTGTAAGAGCGAGAGAGTGCGAGCGAGAACGATAGAAGGATCGCGATATGAGAGAAGAAAGAGAGAGAATCTCTCTCCCCATGATGTACGTATACATCCTGGTCCCTTATTCCCTGTACGTGCAAAGGGGGTTTCGAGAGGCTAGCAACGGTGGAGCCACGACAACGAGCTACAACCACGACGGCGAACACGACTACTACGACACCGCGTGGGGGTTGCACGAAGACCCCCTGGTGGGGTTCTGGCTGCCGACCCCACAGTCCCCCGCTGGAAATGATATCAGTCGCGACTCGGTCGAGGGAGCCCCAGCACGTGCCGTGCCCCTCGCAGAGTGAGCCCAATAGCTTGCTCAATACCACACTTGGTGTACGTTCCTCGCGTATGCTTTTTTTTGTTCGCGATCCGGTGTTCTCGCTCGAAATTTCTTATTTCGGGGAACGAATGAAATAAGGGTGTAAGTAACATACGTACGGTGGTTGTGAAAAAAAGGAACAAGTGAAAACTTGCGAAGGTGTATTTTAATCTTACCTTCCTTCTTGGACCGTGGTCGCCTGATTGATCTCTTGCTGCTGATATTTTTAATCTCACGAGACTTTAATCGTCTTTTAACTTTTTATCGTCAAAGGTGAGTGAATATGAAGAAAATAGAAAAAAATATTTATGATTAGAGTATATTTTACTCAGTATCGTTGTATTTTTAATTTAAGGCTTGTTCAACAAATCGTTAAATATAATTGTACTTTGACAGTGATCTTTTGATCAATTATCGATTCGAATCGGTGAAGGAACTTTTCACAAGGGTGAAATGACATTGTCGATTAAGTATTTGCACTGACTCGATCGAGCTTAAGACTTCGTACGACATCTGTAGGCTAAGTTAGAATCGCAACAGTTTGTACCTTTTCCTCTTTCTGTTTACCATAACCCATCATACATTGGAACGGTGCGATGATTCTATTAACTTGTTCCTAATAGCTTCATGAAGCGAATGGTCGTAGTTGATCACATAATTGACTGCGAATGCACTTGTACGACATCTACGACATGTCCTGTTAAAGCTGTAACTCCTTTCGTTTCTCGTATTCGAGAATCGATGATATCGAAAATCATGTCGCAATTTTGCCGTAAAATAATGAAATTCGCGAAGGAAAAATACATGCGAGATTACGTTTAAATGTATTTTTGTACAAACTTTTTAAATTGATTTAATCAATCGTAACGATAGACCCTCGACGTTTCTATTTTTGTAGAATAACAATCTTGAAATAGATTTCGATACCTCGATTTTTAAAGCGTTAAAATTGTTTCGATTATTTTCTAGTATTCGATTTGTTTATCTTTTCTTATGTACTAGTCGTATCGAGATCAACTCGAAAATGCTTGTTCGATTTGTCGATGCTAAGAACAGAAGATTTTTTAATAAAAAGGACAGTCGTATTAATGCTTCTATATCTGTGCACACGTTCTCGAGACGCGACGACAAGGCGCGGATATTAATAGAGTCGACGTTAGGACGGGGCACACGGTTTAAACCGACTCTTTGCTCTCTTGATCTTCGGCGTTCTAGAGCGCTCTAACCAGCCACGGGAGATCTTGTGCATTCTTGGATACCTTAGTCACGCGAATCAGTGACCTCGATACGTAATTTCAAATAAACCATAATGAATAAGTATTGTCATACGCGTAATATTCTGAATTTTATGAAATTGAATATTTTCGATTGCTTAACAGTTATCGACCGCTTTTATAAATGTGTATAGGTTAAAATGATAAATTTTGAATAAGCAATTTTGTTGATTTAAAACATAAATATTTTTTTATTTGATGAAAATATAACATTTATTATAATATTTTAATATATGAGCAAAATACAAAAGTGATACGAAAATAATTCGTTAGTGAAAATTTCTGCTTCTGTTCATGCTGTTATTTTCGTAACTCGTTGAGTGGATAGTTTTAGTATGTTTATTATACTTGTACGAGGATACAGATGGTACATCGAATATAGTCACAAGCTATTCGAATGTGAATGAAATTTTCCTTGAAATAGTAATTGTTTTTATTAATAATTTTATTTCATAAACAATATTGCTAATAAAAAATTATTTTTGTCATTTAGATCGTTTTTTTTATAAAAATATAAAATATAATGTAAAACTACCTAACCTAAATCCAATGTTTGAAATTTAAATTTAATTTTTATAATTTTAAGGAAGAAACATTACTTTTATATGTGTTTAATAATATCTCGATAACTTTATCTTCATAATGTGTATCTAAAATGATTACACACACCTGATATCAATTGTTTTTTTTATCACAGTGTTATATATATCGAATTATTAATGAAATCTTTCAATATATGATTAAAACTGTAAAATTATTAAAGATTGTATCTATTATTAAAAATGGACAAATTATGATTATAGTATCTTAAACAAATGTAAATGAATTTATAAAAACATAAGTTGAACTTTGTTATTAAGCTATCTTCTTATTGCATGCACCTATTTGCTACGTAATCAATGCACATATTAGATATACCGTACGTGTTTTTCAAGAATAATTCTACGTCAATGTTTCATCTTGATGAATATTTGTTTCAGTTGTATTTTTACCTTATTTAGGTAAAGATTACCTAATTAATTTATATAGCACAGATCATAGTATAAATTATATAGCTAAAAATAGTATACAAGTATATAAGTGTCATAAATTTGATATTATTTAATAATATATAAATATTATTTTGATATTATTTTAATATATTTTATATAATGTTAGAATTTTGAGTTATATAATAAAAAAAAATTGATTTTCAAAAACTAAAAAATAATTTTAAATAATTTTCGCGTGATTGTAACTCGTTGAACTTTTATATCATTTAAAATTAATAATAATAGATATTAGATATATACATTTTAATGATATTGATGTTTTGTGTTTTTGATGAATAACTAAGAATATTTGATATTTATTAATCAAACATATATTATTTTAGCCTTGTGAAATTTTTATCTTTGTTTTTTTTTACATATGAAAATATCTCGACAATAAAATTTATCTTAAATTGATAATATTAAATAATTTTCACTTTTTATCAATTTTATCATATTTTCAGAATGAAGAAAAAATAATTAAATTTTATCATTAGTGGCAATTTGTCTACTTACAATATATTATATAAATGTATTTAATTTTCAAATATTCAACTTGAAATTTGAATTGTATGATAAATGAATTTAATTTTATTATTTTATTAATTATAATTTTAATAACGCTTCTTTTTTTATTTATTTTTCACACAAAAAATACTAGTAAAGAATTAAATTCCTATAACATTATATTGTTACTTCACATTTCTTAGTATCTTTTTCTTCGTAGTTAGACAAGTATACGTGATGTGTGTGTGTGTGTGTGTGTGTGTGTGTGTGTGTCTTTTCTCTCTTTTTCTGTCGCCAAAAAAAAGCATGTTTAAAATTTTCTCCCAAAAAGAACACGACCATCCTCGATCGCGCAGAGGGGGCCGTTTTCTCTCTGTCGTCGATTTTCGTGGTCCCCCCTCGTGTGACGTAGCTTCGAAACGAAAGGGAAAAAAGGGTGCGACACACGAGCCTAGCCCCTTGGCAAATGCGTGACGGGGTCCACCAACGAAATTATGGATCGGACCTAGCCATGCACGTCTGCGCATGACCACCGCTAGATCGCTCTGCCCTTCTTCAGCCCACTTTCCACTACATTCCCGTGTATCCATACATCTAACTGTGCATCCTCCCTATGACCACGTATTTCACTAGCCTAGCTTTCTTCCCTAGTTCCATTTTATTTCACGCGATATAAATAACAACGTTACGCCGGATATCGTATTGCGATCGTATTTAAATTGTGAGTTTCTCTATTTGATAATTTCGCAATGTCTTTTTATTCGTTTCTGTTTTTACCTGATTCAAATATATATACAATTTCATTTCGTTTCTCGCGATCGTTGTAAGTTTTCCTTTTTCTATTTTATTTTTTCTTATTGTGAAGTTATACATAATTATAATTCTATCTTAATTTTTTTTATCATGATATTGAATCATAATTGAATTATTTTAAATAAAATTTTCTTCCTTATTTCATTTGATAATTTTATAATTTTTTTTTTTCATAATTTAATGAGAAGATATGTAATTTCATTTCACTTTTTACGATCATTGTTCTTCGATTTTTTCTTCTATTTTTTTTTATCCTGATTTTAAACATAATTTTGACATAATTTTTCTTATCATGCTATTAAATGTTTCTTTATTTTAATATTCATTTGATCCAGAGAATTTATGATTTTTTTCGTTCTTCTTTTTATCTGATAAAACGAGAAGATATGTAACCTCACTTTATTTTTTGCGATCTCTTTCTTTTTTTATATTTTTTTTCTTATTTTATAATTCTGATTTTTATGTAATTCTTTCTTTCTGTTATTGAGTGTATTTCTTGTATTTTAAATATAATTCTATTTAAATTTCTTTTAAAATTTTGTATATCGACATCTTCTATTTCTTAATTTTTTCTTCATAGAATCGATTTTTTGTTTTTTTTATCTTATCTTACAATTACACAATTGAATCCTTGTTTTTTCCTTTCGACTTTGTATCCTCGATAATAAATGATTTTTTATTTTTATACTCATTCGTATACAGCGTATATGTGTGAAAATGTATGTAACTCGAAATAATATTTGAATAAATATACAAGTAATATTTTGCCATACATCAATTAACTTAAAAAAAGAATTAGCAAAATAATCTTTTCAGTTTCATTTCAAATGAAATTAATTAATAATAAAATTACGAATTTAATTAAATTTTTGAATAATTATTCCAATTTCAATAATGCAATAAAAATTTTTTCTTTCTTTTTCTCTTTGTCAAATTTTTTTCATAATAAACACTTACAAACAATTACAATAATGATAATAAATTATTGTTGATTTTAATTATCGTTCATGAACTTCGTGAATTTTGTGAACGCTTAAACTGCACGAGTATCACGTGCACACGTGAGTGTCATATACCAACATTGTTAGACTTTGTCGCATCGCGTGTATAACAATAAGAAGCGAACTATTATATAAATATCTCGACACAAAGGATTCGAATAATTGCGTGGAACGTGTGAAATGAACTGATGTTTCAATGTCAGTATCAATGTACAAGTATGATTCAATTATGATGTAACACTTACAAACACGAATGAAATATTTTCCTTGTATTGATTGTGAATTTCAGTCGTTGCTCGATTCGATGTATTTGTACTTTCTCGAAGATATCTGTATCTTATATTGATTAAAATAATGGAGAATAAAATCAAAATTTTCAAAATAATTGACATATAAATGTTATGCAAACTTATTTGTGAATATATCCATTCATAACTTTATGTGTTGAATAAAATTTTGGGCAGATTCTTTTTTAATGTTGCTCAAAATAACTTACATGAAACGATCGTTAATTAATAAAGGTAAATATTAAACATATAAAATAAAGTATGTGATATTGATGAATATAAATATATTACTTATGAATATATCCAATTAATTAATAATCAATAATTAATTAACAAAATTTTATGCAATACTTTATTGTTGGCATTGTTAACGAATCATTAATTTTTTCAGACAGATTCTTAATATCGCTAAAAATAATTTATAAGAAACATTATTGAATATATATATTTTTTTTATCAATTAATAGATAAAATTCTGAAAAAAGTTTCATGTGCATTCATTCATGCATTTATTTCATAGACAACACTGGACACGTCACAATAATGGGTGAAAAGACATTTAACCTCACGTGGAACAATCACCTAGCCAACTTGTCTGGATTATTCGAAGGGTTGTACAAAAGTGGTTCCTTGACAGACACAACGTTAGCTTGTCAAGATGGAATGTTGAGGGCGCATAGATTAGTCTTGGCTGCGTGTAGTCCTTATTTCGAAAGAGTCTTCAAAGAACATTACGGTGAACAGCCAATTCTTATTTTAAAAGGTAAACTCTAAAACATATAACATTTTGTTATCAACAAAAATTTTCATCATGAAATAAACTCAATAATTAATTCAATCAAATTCAAGAATTAACAAACTCACAAACTGTATCTATTAATACAATTTACATTTCGAATGAGCAGGTGTGGCAGTCGAAGAGATGGAATGTCTTCTGGATTTCATGTATCGCGGTTCGATCGACGTCGCCGAGGAGCATTTGCCCTCTTTGATCAAGACTGCGACGGATCTAGAGATCCGTGGCCTTTCTGGTGACCAGAGAAACCAAGAAAACAGTCGCAGCCCTTACACAAGGGTCGAGACGCGAATGCAACGGTGTCACATAGAAGCGAGAGTTCACACGACAGAGTACATGAAGGAACCGTCCGTGATTCCATTCTTGCCGAAACAGTCTTCCATAGAATCGTTAGAGGATCACATCAAAGTGGAGGAGATCGAGGTGGAAGACGATCCAATGGTGATTGACGGTCACGAGGATGCGTTCGACGAACCGTTGCATACTTCTGACACGCAAATCGTAAGCTGTAATCGAAGGATATTAATTAAAATTGCTTGAATTGGCTTGAATCGTAATAATTTGTTAAAAACCGATAATACATAATTTTCTCATTTCAGAGACGTATGCCGCCTCCTATGTACAAACGAGAGACAAGGTTCAAAGGTCAAAAAAGAGTTTCCGTGGGACGTTCAACGAGGAATAATGATATATTGGAATATAGATCGAAGGATCGCGTCATTTCGAAGGAAGATTCAACGAGGGAGAGTTACGAAGATTCGAGTGCGGTTAAATGCGAGTCGAATTTTAATAACGCTTCCTCAGATCCTACGGTACCGGATATACAGATGAACGACGACTTACAAGAACGAGATGAGAGTCTGGTACGATAAGATGATCATGATTGAAATTCATTCTCATTGGTATTTTAATTATTCATTGGTCTAATTTTGGCTAATCGATATTTATAATCAGGCAGGATGTGATATTGCGAATAAATTGATTGTGATAATAAGATCAATCTGAAATTAATCCGTGTAAATCATATTGTTGAAAATGACTTATATGACATAATTCAAAAATTTCTTTATTCAAATCTTCGATTGACAAATCAATTAAATCAATATTAAACAATTGAATTAATTGATTTCTCAATTGAAAGTTTAAAGTTGAAACGATAAAATAATTTTTGAACTATGCAAATCATTTTCAGAGAATTTGACTTACACTGATTAGCCTCTGAATCCTTCAATTGTTGCGTACGTTCTTGTAAGTTCAAAATCATTCTCTATTGGAAACGATTTTTCTTCATCATAACACCATTTTATTTTCAGGATTCTTCGAAGAGTATGGACGATAATTCAAGATTAAGTATGAAGAAAAAGGGCGATATATCTACGAAGAGATCAGGATTGAACGAAGGAAAAGAGACCAGGCCGATACAAACTAAGTCTGAAAAAGCTCAGTATAAACCTTTTTCCTGCGATCTTTGCACTTTGGCCTTCACGAGAGCTTCTCATCTGGCTAGACACAGAAGGGTTCACACAGGTGAACGACCTTTTGCCTGTAGTATTTGTCCACGAATGTTTGCTAGACAGGACAAGTTGAAGCAGCATTTGGACTCGCATTTACAATGGCCGAAGAGAAAGAATAATTTGTCGAGTTCCAGTTGTCAGTCGGTTTCCTCTGTACCTGGTAAAGCAAAAAGAGGTAGACCGAGAAAGGTTAGATGTATTTTCATAACATTTGCATAATATAATCAATGATATGTAAATGTTTTCACGAATGATCCTAATTTTTCTTCAATTTTTTTTTTATCTTTTTTCATTATTATGAATTGAAAAATATTAATGTAATAAAATTTATTATTATCATTTATAGAAAAGGAAAATTAATTTAGATTTAATAATAATACAAATATCCATTACAGGTGAATTTAGAACAGTCAGCCATGGAAGAAATTTTAAAATTTGGAGAATTCAGTTCTTTGTTAAACAAATCACACTCTGCGAATTCGGCAGAGAAGAATGAAGATTTAGCATCCATTGAAAATGAAGGGAAACTCAAGGAACAAGAAGAAGACATAGTGGAAGAAGGAAATGAGAATAAAGATAAAGATGCGAATAAAGACAAAGACAATTATGGGTGTCAGGTAGAAAACGGTCAAGATATTGTTTAAATAATTTCTCATTTCTTTTCGTACTTCTATAAAAAATATTTTTCTATGGGTAAGAAATCGTAATATGGTTAAAGAGTGATGAAAATTATCGAGCTTCTCGATCAACGATATGAATCAGGTACTTTTCTCGTTTTTTCTTTGTCCAAATAACTTTTAATAAGGAGGGACAAATTAATTAGAAATTTCATATTATATATATTATGGGATTAATTAGTTAAAAAGTTAATTAGTTAAAAAATTTTAAGTGCAATAATTTTTCTAATTCTCTATGTTTATTTTTTCTCAAAGAAAATTCGTATTTTTTAATCTAGCAACGTAAATTAATAAGATCATAAATTGGTTAAAAGTTACATTTCATATTTATATAGTTAAGATAAATACGCAACGATATACTATATTAGAAACATTTTCACTATATACAATGCTAATTAGGTATTACATCGTTTCGAAACTTAAATGGAATGAAATTGTTGCGAAATGATTGTTACTCTTATACAAAATTTCAGCATATTTGTTTTACTTTCGTTCTTTATTATATACTTCATCGAAGTAGTTGAGATAATAATGAGATTTAATTTATTCAAATAAAAACATGTAGGTATTTAGATTATCAATTCAATATGTAAAAAAATGCAATTAATTATTCGTATAAGTCATTCAAAATTATTTCGAAACTTAAAAGACAAGAATGAAAAATTTATTTGAATTTATGAAAATTTTATTGGTTATATATGCAAGATGAGCAATTTCTATGAACAAAACATTATTTGTTAAATAAAGTATCAATAGAGAAATATAAATATGTTGATAGTTTTGTGCGGAAACAATAGAAATTGCAAAAAATTATAAAACAAATTTTTTTATTTTAAAAAGAGTTTATTTTTTTATGATTTATAAAAGTTGTTTAAATGAATCATTGCAATTGCATCATTTTACTTATTGATATTTTTTTAAGATAAATCTATCTTCATGGATATTTTTCTCATGGAATTTATCTTTTTTATTTCTAAATTTTTATTTAATATCTCTCCAAGTCTTAATTATCTGAATATTTGCAAGTTTAGAATTAACAAAGTTATCGTTATAATTTAATATATTAAATGAACATAACCTGACTTCATATTTAATCTTCAAATATTTCTTCCATTCATCGCTTAACCTAATCTAAACTCAAAGTTTTCATACAAAAAGACATATATCATTGGATTCTTTTTTTCATATCGAAAACTTAAAAACATTTTATTATAAGAATTATCATCTTGCACAAAATGAAACGAAGCCTTGTCTTTTTTTTTCGATAAAACTATTGCAACATGATTTAAATTTAGGTTTTATGATTTGTAAATCATAATTGTAATCATGTCTGTCTTCGATTTCCTCGCAAAGGCGAAATAATCTTACCAAATAATTTTTATCACGGCTTTTGTATTTATTTATTTATTAAGATTCGTGGTATTCTTGTTATAGATTAAATAGAAATTTGTTCGAAAGAGTACCTGAAGCACCTACGTTAGATTACATGATTAACTAACCGAGGGTGAATACAGGCCATATATAGGAAAAAATAATAAACAATCCTTATCTCCCATTTTTCGAGATGATTGTTTAGGTACTGATAAGTCGGATTTTACGACGATCCATTACGTCGTTTAATACACGATATTTCTATCGTACGATAAGATTAGGAGATGAAATTTATGTTGAAAACTCGACCAAATTACTTAAGCTGGAAGACTGTGGTATGGTTTGCATTGTGAAACTGTTTAACTGATTCGAGTTATAGAATTCGTTCATGTTCTCATATTAATTATTAATTTAGGAGGAATATTTATATATATTTATTTTACATTGTTCCTCTAACATAATAAACTTATAATTAAATAATTATGCAATATATGATTCTGGCACAAGAAAAATTTTATAAAATTTACTTCATTTTGATTATTTTTATCGATAAAATAATTTATATTTGAACAGATGTTTTTAAATGTAGGCCTAAGATATGTTCGAATTATTTAAATGCCTAAAAAACTTTTTAAAACTTCATCATATTATATGAAAAAAAATAAATTTTTTTTTTTCCAAATTTTCATACGAATATATACATATAACGTTAATAAACTTGTCGTTAAAATTAATTTTAAAATATATATTTCTCTGAACTTATTGCTATAAAAATTAAAGTTTACAGTTAAATGTACGACAGTGCAAACTACATCTATATAGATGAGGCTCAATCTCAGATTTTCAGAGCCGAGAAAAAATGTAGCTTCGAATATTTTGTTATACACGCGATTATAAATACTTCAAGTACAAATGTCCAAATATTAGAGTATACGTGTGCGTAAGTGTGCGTGCCTGTCGTACTATAAAATAAAAATGGAAAAAACAACAGTATGGTGAATAGCGTTCAAAAATTAGCCGGTGCAATTTTTTTTTTTTGCGTTCGTATGAAACTTGTTAATTTGTTTTTTTTTTTTCCTTATTAGAAGTATAGCCTCTTAAATGATTTTTGATTGATCGACGTTTTCTTGTGTTCTTGTTTTTGTAATTTTATAAGTAACTATTATAATTGCGCTTACATTTAACTGAATGAACTAATTCGATACTTAAAATATGGAACAATGTACATTTGTATTTACATTTGTATTTTATCTAGAAACACTATTATTTATTTTATTACACTATTATTAACACTATTATTTTGCATTGATTTGTCATTTCTATATCAATAGAAAATACAAATAATTTTTTTAATTTTTATATTTCTCTTACAAATAAGATAAGAAATAATCATCATTGTTTCCATGTTTTAAGAATGAAATAATAAATTTGTGTATATCGAATTATTCATTTTGAATCCACGGAAAGCCAATTTTGTTCGAGTTCAAGAGTGATATATATATATATAAAATAATTACATAGTAGACGTTAACGCCATCTTCATTGTGTTTTCTGTAATATCAGTTGTTGTTGTTGTACGAATTGCATTTTATTTCGTTAAATTCTTGTTGCTCGACTTACCAGTGTTACACTTCCCGCATTAAAACTTTTATTACGGCGATGTGCAATTTATTTCAGCGACATGACCTTCACATGGTCTATCGCAGACAAATTTACGAGTGTACTTGGTGCAATCTTTTAGAGCGTCCAGAAGGTCGTACGCGAGTCTTCATATCTTACAGTGTATATTGTGTAGCATGTGTAAATAAATTTTAAAGTCAATGTCTAGTTTAATTAGTAAATTCCCAAATATATATATATATATATATATATATTATATTTTGAAGTATATCAATGATCAAAAATTTAGAATCATTAAATTCGATTAATTAAAAAAATAATAAATTAAATCATCTTAGAAAAAAATTGATTGATCCAAATTTTTAGCTGATAATAAATGTATATGTGAAAAAAATTTGTTTATTTTTTGTTTTTTTATTTGATCTAATTCTTAAAAAGGAGTTATTTAATATGTTAAAATTAAAAATGTGAAAAATTTATAACACATATAATAACGAATAAATTGATAAAATGATGAAAATGAAAAAAAAATGATATAATTAAAATAAAAAGACTAATATTTTTCTTTTTGTTACTCGCAATTGTCATTATATTCTCCGACATATAATATATTTTTACAAATACATTTTCTTTTCGCTTATACACAGACTTTTTCAAAAGTCGGATAGGAAATTTAAGATAATTATTCCGTTAGCATATATCGTATATACTTTCTCTTCGTCATGATTTGCAATGATTATGTAACGCCAAAATTGTATACTAATCTCATAATATTCAATGTCATTGATAAAAAAATTACGAAAAAGAATCGTCTTAGTTCGAGATTGGCCTCGAGAGATATCGTGATCACGATATTTTATCGATAAAATTTATGTCGGTGAATTAATATTTTCTAACATCGATTTACTTTTTATGTGTTTTTTTTTTAAAATAAATTATCTTATATTAATGGCAACATCGAAAGCACGATGCTTTTTCTATATTTCTTTTTCTTGCTCTATTTCTTATTTCTATTGATTGCATTTATGTATATTATGCAAATGCATTTTACGATAGCTGCATCAAAGAAGAAACGCACGATAACTTTGGAAGTTTTTTTTATAAGCTTCTGTTTCTCGAGACGAATTCGATCTGGACGATTCCTTAATTAATTTTTCTTTATACATACGTCCTTGTCATCGAAATCGACATATTAAAACCGCCTTGTATCAACATTATTGTTCTCAAATCTATTTTCCTCCGGATTACATTGAATTTTTCAAAATTATTAGAAATATTGAAGATTTATGAAGATATTTATTTAATATAATGATTCAAAATAATAATAATATAATTTAAATTATATATTCATCATAAATTAGAATTAATCAGAGGAAAATAGGAAAACAATTTGTCTACAGAATATCAAGCTTTGAATAAAAATATTTTAATTACAAGTATTAGTTTACGCATATCGTTCAGACAAGCAAGCAAACATACATATTTAACAATGGCGATAAATATCTTAGATATAAACAGTATTATTTATTGGCTAAAAATTTGTCAACTATACAACATAACATGTAATACTAGTCTATACGCAATAACTTAAAATTTAAAAAGAATGGAAAATAATCATTTAAATAGATTCAATACAAATCTTTCCTTCCATTATCTTTTTATTTATACATATTTCATAAGCTGGGCAGGCTCGTGCGAAATTGTAATGTTGCAATACGTTAACATGCTATAAAACATGACGCAGAATTTTTATTGACAATTAACCTGTACGCAGCAATTTTGTCGTAATTGCAAATTATACTTTTAAATTCACTCATTTTTATTTTTAATTCTAATATTTTTTAAAAATATTTTATTTTATTTTTATATTTTAAAATTATTAAAAATTAAACGAAGAATATTAAATAATTATTTTACGAATTAAAAATTGCAACGCACAGAAAATACCTGTATTATACATAGTTGTATTATACATATGCATACGTATGTATATAGTTTAACATTCGAAATCTTTAATGATCAGGACCGAAAATTATACACAACACAAGTCGTTCCAATAATTACAAATTGCGAGCTGCACGCTTTGTGTGTTAATAATACTAATAACAAGAACATACCTTAAATTTTATCTTATTGTCGTATAAAATGCATATATCTTTTGACATATCTTCAAGTGAATTTTACACCCCAATCATATAATAAAATGCTTTATGTGCTCGATACTTATCGATATTTTGTGCGATACAACGATGTTTTTTTTTTTTTATTGTGTATTTACTTTCAACTATTTTATGCCTCTCGCATTTCTCTCGATTTATATCTCTAATAGGATATTTCTGTGAGACAATTCAATTTATTATTTCGCACAATCTTTATATGATCTTTATATGATCATCTTTATATGATTATGTACGAATCTGTATTTCGTATTTTAATTAAAATGAAACAAAAAAATAGTTACAAAATCTTAATCGATACAAATACGTGATTTTCGCAATTTTCAATTCAATTGAAAAGTATTTTTTTTTTTTTCTTTTCTTTTTATAAAAGTCGAATTTCATTAACCTGAAATGTGCGTTGATACGCTCGAAGTATGCGATTTTTCACACTTTCAACTTGATACGCGCACGCATGCATGTACATACACACACATACACACATACACATACACAATCGCGAGTGTGAATATTATCAATATATCGACAAGTTTTTTGAACCCTCTTCAAACAATTGTAAATTAATAATATCATTTAATATTTAAAAATCTAACAAGTTATCGATATTAAAAATGTGCATAACAATAATAATTTTAATAATAAAATACAAATGAAGTTTTATAAATAAATTTTACTTATGAATTATTTAATTCGACGTAAATTAATAAAATTGTGAGAGAGAAATATATATTACAACTTGACAAATCTTCAATATTTTAGTTAATAAATTTTTGCAAGAGAGGGCCCTGGTAGTATCATATTTATTAGATTCTATCAATTTGCTTTTGAAATGCAATAATCTTTTAATTGATAATATTGCTTTTAAACAATGGATTTCATATTAAATTGTTTTGAATTCATTGATCAGAACTTATACTTTCAGATTTGTTTAAAAATATTGTTTTTTTGTAACTTTGGTGCTTTATAAATTTTTAATTTGAATCAATGACATAAAAGTATTTGAAATATTCGACACAACGTGCGTAATTATAAAGAAGTCTTGAATCAGATGAAATGTATATATATGTGTATGTATGTAAACATTATTTATGTCTCTTTTATATTTCCTTATTTGTATGTCACTATAATTTGCAATAGCTGTTATATCTTAGAAATTTATATCGAGTGAATGTTTAGATAATGCTATTGATCAAAGCGAACAATTGATAATTTCAATTTTTACTCGGTATGAATTATGATATGATTGCATTTGTTTACAACATTGTTAAATTATGTGATTCTCTCATACGCAGGTAACAGTGTCAGAAAGTAGGATTATTACGATTCGATTAAAAATGCGTAGTATTTCTAACCTAAAAAAAAAAGTTTACTTCATAAATAAACCAAAATTTCTAATAATGTTTTCATCTATTTTTCATTTTTCCTAAAGAAACACGTATTCGATCATTTTTTTATATATAAATTAAAAATAATAGTCAAAATAATTATCATAAGATTCGTATTTGTGTCATTGTCTGTCATTTCTAACTATACAAGTAACACATTTCAATACAATACATTCTGACACATTTAATATTACAATTATATTGAACAATTTTCTTCCTTTATTTCAACTATTTTTTCAAATCATATATTATTCTAGAACAGAATCATCGTTAATCGTGTAAAATAATCGATCGTTAATCACTGAACTATTTGGATAAATCTACACAACTTACGATTTGATTTAACATGAATCACAAAGGTGATCGTTTCGGTAACAAGAAATACAATTTTCATTCTTCTACTTCACAGGTATCTCAGAATTATTTTTACCTAAGAGTAATATTACTACATTCGCAATCATTTATAACTATTGAAATAATAAGAATTTCGTTACTCGTTGAGTAATGAAATTAATAAAAATTTTGTATAACTATATCATTAAAGATATTTCTTCATTATCGTCATTATATATAATATGCTTTCTTCGTACAACGAGGTGTCATTTGGTGGTAACACAAATAATTTACAATAAAGCTAACAAGAAGACATTGTTACCACAAGCAAATGACACATAATATATATATGTATATATATATATTTATATACACGTTATACGGATTTAATATTCACTATTTACCGATTACACAGTTCTTTGATTTATACAAACCATGAACGCCTAATGTCCATTAGAAGGTACCATTTAAGATTCTTCTTGTTCTCTTTTCTATTTTCACAATCATATTTTCCACTCGTTTCTTTATTTTTCTCAATTCCTCGAATTTGTCACAACCATATCTAGAGATGATAATTTTATTTTTTATGAAATTTTTTTCTTATAAAACAAAATTAAGACTGAAATAGTAATAAATTTCACCTCATCGCTATTCAGTACTAGTCAAACTTCTCCACTCGCTTCACCATTATCATCTTGCTTTTTATCCTGCTTTTCTTTCTCTCTTTGCCTCTCTTTGTTCTCCTCTTTCTCCATTTCTGTTTCCTTCTCTTTTTCAATCTTCTTTTCCTTTTCACTTTCCTTCTCCTTCTCTCTCTCCTTATCCTTCTCCATATATTTCTCTTGTTCCTTCTCTCTTTCCTTCTCTCGTTCTTTTTCTCGTTCTCTGCCCCTTTCCGCTTTTCGTTCTCTAAGTATTTCCATTCTACGCGCTCTATGCAAACTTCCAGAAGGAAATGTGGAATCTTCGACCGCGGCAGCCGCGGCCGCACTCGCTCCTCGCTCCACGGCCGTCTGCTCAATAATTTACTTAACTGTATTTTTCAGTATGTCCTCTACCTGATTTTATTCACGTAAAATAGACACTCATATCGAATAAGACGAGTTAGATACATACTTTCAATATAAAACTGGCCGTCGAACTTTTGGCAATTGGACTCTGTGCCGAGGACGGATGACTATGCCCGTGCCCATGGGTACTAAAGTAGCCACCTGCTTTCGGTTTGATATGACGATTGTACATTTCCATATGTACGATCTTCATGAATTCGATCTGTGCTGCTAATTTCTGAATTTCTTCCTGCAATATACATATATGATAATTGGATGGATATTTATGTAAATTAAAATTTTGATAAACATGTATATATATATTTATTTAAAAATAGAATTGAAACATAGAAATTTAAATATACATTCTGTATATTTAATTTGTAAATTTCTGTAGTGATTATTATATCTTTAGAATTTAAAATGAGACGATGATACCTTCAATTCTTCGTTTTCTTGATGCAAATCTGTCGCTTCCTCGGATACTAAACCGATTCCATTTAAAGAGAAACTTGCTGTGACACCTCGGGCTCTAGCACGACTATCCCATTGATCTCCTTGACCACGTAAAACTCGAATCACCTGAAATGTAATTAATGATCCTTTAAAAAGGTAATGTAGAATTTACTATATATATTGTCTATATATTCATGAGAAATCTTTCGATTCCAAAGGCCAAAATAATGTTTGTTCAATATGAAAAATTTTCTGAAAATTAATAAATAATGTTCAGTGAAGAGATGTCATATTACGTGAGATAATAAAGTTGAATTAAATATAATATTTTTTTATATTAAATTTTGTGTTTATTTTAATTTCTAGAATATATTCTTCAAAGTGTTTCACGAATATCTTGTATGGGAAAGAAAGTGAAATAATTAATGAATTACCTTCGGCGCAAATACAAGAAACACAGTGACAGAAGTAGACAATTGTGTACGTAGAAAGCCTAATAAATATTTGATATCTGGGCCAGCATGAGGGAAAATGAAGAGACTGCAAAGAAAATCATGGAACTTAAAACTCGATTCGACAATAATGTTGGAAATAATAAAAAAAAAAAATAAAAAATAAAAATTCATACTGAATGGCAATCATGGTTATGTTCACAGCTGCTATATTGTAAATAGCATAGCTTATCAAACGGGCCTCATTAAAAAGACTTTCTGCATTGCGAACGTTATAACAAACTTTAATGCCCCATGCAAGGAACAGAATTTCTCCTGAAAGGGGATTTTCAATTATTATATATTTTATTGATGTTTTTAAAAATATTTTTTCTAATCTAATTTTATGATTTTTTTTAGTACCGATAGCTAAACTATGGTCCCACCAATTGAAGGAGCATTGATTGAACTTTAGACCATAATTATCGGCTATCTCTTCAGCATATGGTGGTGCGCTGAGCGTCCACGTGCCCAGATAAATTAACATTACTAATAATATCGGGACCATCCATTGCAGCAATTGTTTGTCTGTGAGCTTTACTTTGTGCGCGCTTTTTACACGGTATGTGAGAGAAACTCTATAAAAAAGAAAAAAGAATAATTTGTACCTCTGATAAAAAAATATGTTATTCATTATTGAATTACAAATAAAAATTTTAATTTTTGATTTTCTTCTTTGATAATTGATAATTGATAAATTTGTGTTTCATACCTCCAGGTTTTCATCAACAATGCGGTATAAGAAATACAAAAACCAAGATGTCTTGTCCATTTGGTCGCGATACAAGAATACATGTCCAAAACCGGAAATATCGCGGCCATCTAAGTACATAAAAAAATAATTTACATAATACATATTGATTACATAATATACATTTATATATATGAAATAATCATAAGAAATTGCAGAAGAATTTAATGAATAATAAATTATACGTACTTCAAGATACATGATGGCGCAACCCAAAAGCGTGATAGACAAAAATATCGGCGAAGCAACCTTGAACACTTTGAGTTTACGGTGTTGATACATGTAGACGACTAAGATGATAGTACCAAACACACAGAAAATAGAGAACGATAAAAGAGCGATTCTGCAAGTAAAAGATATTTTTATCATTGAATTTATATAATTTCATTGTAATTGAAAATTCCTTAAATTTCAGAAATACTTCAGATTACTTCTCTTCGGTTTAAAAAATAAAGAACTTTGGGACGAATTCGTACCGGAAGGGCCAGTTGTAGGTGGCTAGACAAGGTTCCGGTCCCTTACATTTAATGCATCCCGGGGCACAACGTAAGCAACGAAACATCGTCATGTACCAATCGCTTATGTTTTCTTGCATTTCCTTCCAAGCGGCTATAAATTTGTTTCAGCTAAAGTTATACTAATAATGCATTCACTCGAGGCAAAGAGTTGAACTATCCTTACTAACTTTCGACGAGGATTCCATTGAAAGCGGATTGATGTTGGTTCTTGTCGTAATAACCTTTTCGACATTTACATATATATGCACCCTTTGCCCAACCAGCACCTACGCCATTTTGATTTATACGATTGCTCGGACTTTGATATTCACACTAAAAGTCATATACATGGAAACATCAGGTAGAGACAAACTCTTGATATTGGATAAAAGAATTTTAAAGGATGATAATTCTTTTTCAATAATTTCAGTGTTTAAAAGAATTACCTGAGTGGTATCTGTATGACATTTGTGCGTGCCTTTAAAAGATGCTATTTGATTACTTAGAATTTCATTCTCATTGCTATGCGGCGATGGATCACATTGATTTACTTCTAGCCCGCTAATATCGATATCTACGCTTAAAAATTCACGAACCCTTGAACAAAATATAATTTCATCAACATTTGTTGAAATAGTTTGATCGCTTTATTCAAGAACAAACAAAATTAAAAATCGATCCAAAGAATTGTAGATTCGAAACAGATTCAATTAATCACTTATCAAATGAAAGTTTTGACACATTCGATGCAGTATTGTCATCAAGTATGCTCAGCCATCTCGTTTCATTTTACAATTGTTTTCCACATTAACCATGTAAGTAATTTTCATTGACGAATTAAAATTTTATTCGTATTTAATTATGATCAAAAATTTAAAGTTAAAAATTAATTAAAATGATTGATACGAACCCGTGACGAGCGTCTGGCGGTCGTATGTTAACACTGTATGAAATCAACCATCGATGACTTTTGCAGGAGAAATACGGGATGGTCCACCAACCCCTGTAGGATTCAATCGCCGGTGACTGCATGAATTTCGGTGACCTGGGATAACACGCAAACGCCACAAACCGCCATAGAAACTTCGATTTTTTCACGCATACATGTTTCGTGCAACGACCCCATTATTATCGTACTTGCTTTTTTCTTTTCGTCTCTTTCTTTTTAAATCCTGGCACTTCACGGTCATCCGGTATATACGAACATTAAATTTGAATTAAATAGATATTGTCTGAATATGTATTTAGAAGTTTTTAATTAGAATTCACTGTGTAATATATTAATTGATATTACACTTTAACATTTTTCTTTTAATATTTTTCTTTTTGTAGTAAAAAAGATTAGAGATTATTTTCAAGAGACCATTATTTTTTTCCGTGTTTTTTCATTTTAACTGTTTAATAAATCTTGAAACAGTCTATATTCATAAAATATTTATTTATATCTATAAAATGTAAATGAAAAAGATTGGTTGAAAAGAAATGAAACATTATATATTATAACTATTGTTTTGAATCATAATCAGAGATTATTTCTCATACATATTTTCATAAAATATGTATGAAAATATTTATCTTATAAAATATGCATTGGTTTTAACATGCTAAATCCTAAAGCGATCGCTGAATTAATTTTCAATATTATAATTATTCTGAATTATCATCATCCATTAAAATTTCAATTCAATTTTAATCTATAAATATGTAATAATTTAAACAATACAAGTGAAACAATTGTCAAACTGACAAAATTGAAAAAAATAATTTATGATCTGATTCTTTAAGGACGGCTATTGAGTGAATTCTTTGGCGCTTTTACATTTCGCGTTAAACACTTGAGAAAACTGCATCCACATTGTCTTTAAATTGTCGCTTTCTCTGATGAACATATCATTGATTCGTCGAAATCGATCCAAATGCGATCGTTTGGTCCAAATACCAATCATTTTGTTACGATAACCACCCACACAATAATTCGACCGATGCATATTGTATTTTTCATCCTGATTCAGATTGTACTATAAATACTATAATACAATAATACTATAATCAGTGTTGTCAATCGTTTCATATTGTTATATTCGATGGTTAGTTTCACGATGCCAAGTTATAAATATCGTAGCGCCGTACACACATATGATAAAAAGCTTTTAACGACGTACCGTTGGCATATTGATTATCGTAGAATTCTCTTTAAGCGATTACATTCCCCTTCAAAATGAACACCCTTGAATATAGTGCACGCCGTATCTTTAATATTTAATGAACGGAAAAACATCAACAATTTTGTAAAATATTTCCGATATTATATACTTATAGATTGTAAATTTTTGAATATTCAGACAATATTTTTTTAACAGATGTTAAAAACAAGAGAAAAATTAAAAATTCGAAAAACTCGATTCGTAAAATTCGAATCTCATTTCTGCGTGTCGAGTTTCTATGACTTGACGCTTGTACAAGATGATGAAGGATGATGAATGATCGTGGAGCGCCTATAAAATGTTTATTTTCTTCTCGGTAGAATTGTTCTTAGATAAATATTGATTTATGGTAAGTACATCGTGTTTTGTTAAAATTTATGATATTCGTATTTTTATCGATTTTTGGTTACTGCGTTCAGCTACTTTACCGAGAAGAGGTAACGAAAATTGAATATGGAGGGCGAGATGCAAAATAAAATTTTTTTGTGCTTGTGCGTGTGCGTGCGTGCAGGTTGATGCTTCTTAAAAAGCTAGGTGCAGATGTGATCACATTATATTTAATTAATCGATGAGTATTATTTCTTATGAATATTACAAGAACTTATATAATATATTAATTATATAATTTTAAAGTAACTATATTTCTTTTATTCTAATTTCACTAAAAAAAAAATTGAAAATTATACTAATTGCACAATTTGATATTAACTAAATTATATTTCTCTTTTCCAGATTTTGATAAGAAAAATAGAAAATGGATCGAAATATGAATATATCGATACATGCGATTTTCGAGAACGTGCATCGAATAAAAATCGAAAAAGGTGCATGAGAGTTTGAAATTCGAACGGTTAGATAAATCTAACCTTAATTCTGTAGTGGCACCCGCATTTTCGAACCACGGTAAATTAGAATCCGGTATAGATCCCGGCTGGAGTCCATGGCTCTCGACCTTGAATGGTTCTCCGACACTTCCTGGGCTTCTTTCCAACCAGACTGCGCTAATTACTGCACCCGTGGACGCGTTTAGTGCGATCACCCTTGTCTCCACGGCGTCGTTCACTGACATCAGTAACGACTTTGCTAGCACATCTAAAAGCGCTACAATATTAAATTTCAACAAATTATAAATGTATCAGCTATCAGCTATTATTAACGTATTATGTGGTAATATATAAAGGTTTGTCTCGTTTATACAAAAATTGTGTGTTTAAAAATTGATGATAAAATTGTATATTGAGCCTAAGAAATTGTAAAAATTTTGTAAAACAATTATGTAATTCGATATAAAATAAGTGTAAATCTGTCCTAATCAGAAAAATAAGAGTAATATAAATAGTAGATACTGTTTTACTCATGCAATAAGTAGTAGTGTAGACATGTTCTAATCAGGCATTAAATAGTAGTGTAAACATATTCTAGTCAGACAAGGAGTATAAGTATTTCCTAGGAGTGATACAGTACTTATTAATATTACAAGTATATTTTTATATTATATTATATTATATTTATATAGTATATTATATTATTTATAGTATATTATATTTATATAATAATTATACTATAAAAATATATATAAATCTAATATATGTACATTTATTTTTGAAAATTTTAATGGCCTAATACATAAATTAAAATTTTGTAATTATTAAAATATTTTATCATTAAATCATTGTTCGATTAAACGGTAAATAGGATATATAAAATTCATATGTGAATAATAAATTATAATAAATTTCATTTTTTCAGTTCAAAGATGTTAAAGATCTGATTTTAAAATCAGTCCACGCGCAGAGTCGCAAAAGCATGAAGATATAATCGATGTACCTCGATAGCATGCATATTCTCGTTACCATTTTAGCCGATGAAATTCGATTAGGTGATGATATACCAGGTCCCGGACAAATTGGATTGTTGACAATGCGGTCTGTCATCGTGCACGGTTTATTAGCCAAATCGATTTTATCTTTCTCTTATAGATTGAAACGATTTGGAATTTGATAGAAAAAAAGAAAACAGATCTTCTTTAGTTTGGAATACTGGAAACACCATTATTCTTTCTCATTTTTCTTGTTTAATGAAAAAACATGTGAGAAGGAATTGCACAAAAGTTACATGATAAAACAAATAGAAAAAAAAAAAAACATGAAATTTTTCTTTTGTGAAATATATGTGTTTTAAAATCTTAATATAATATTTTATATAGTAATAAGAAAAAAATATTACAAAAGTAAGTTATAATTTATTCATATTATCTTAAGACCTTTAATTCTTTTGTTAATTATTCGTATACTCACTATTATGCCTTGACACCCCGACAGTGCCAAGATTTTGGAGCATCAGGGCTGTCATGTCAGCTTTTTGACGTGCGGTATCGTAACGTCGAGAATCAAGTGCTACGGCAGCTGGTAAAGATTTAAAACCAGCTGTCGTGGCACAATCTTCACCCAATGATCCGGTTGATGCCGCTTCTATCACGTCCAGAGCTTCTTCGATACCCGCCTTCGAAATAGAACAGGTTATAGATTCTATCAATTAATCCAATGTTATTTTAAATGAACTTCTTCCAACATTGGGAAAAATATACATTAATTTCTTTAGGATTTCAATTTTTATACAAATAGAAACAATGAAAGATTTTTCTAAAATTTAGCTTCAACTTCATATGTTTTAAAATCAATATTGCTTTTAGTGTTAAATTAATTCAAACAATTTAAATTAGGACAAAAACTTTTGGTCTCGAGATCCAACTATAATTATTGGAGGATTTTTCTAAAATTTAACATTTCATTTCAGTATTAAATTAATTTAAATAATTTAAACACAAAAAAAAATTTTGTTAAAGAATTAAAAGTTACTGAGAAATATTTTTTTTTTTAGGATTCTAAGGATTAATTTTGGAGAATAGTAAAGTGATATTTTACCCTTTTCATATCGAGAATCTCCGTGCTGGTAATCGTAGAGAAGGACGGTACCGAGGTCGAGGTAGCCGTCGTTACAGTGATGTACGCCATCATCGTCATCGTCGCAGGAAACAGGGCCCAAAGCCAAGATTTGCCCATCCCGCGTACTGCTCATTTGTACTTTGAAATAAATGTTTGTCATTTCATTCTTTATCATCATGTTTATAAAAATAAGAAGAAAAAATTGAAGATAATTTTTTAATTCCTCTTTTTTTTCTTCTTTTTTTCAATTATATGTAAATACATAATTAAATGCGTATAGTTAAAGGTTAAAATAGTTAAAAAGAGTTTGAATAGTACAATCATTAATAATATCATTAATATATAATTTTAAAAACAAACCTTTTTCTTTTGCATTCAAGTGGCAGCAAGTTTGAGCCCCGGATCCATGGGGCGTTCATCCACCCCCTCTGATGCCCTCGACATTCTTCTCAAGGATTTTCTTGATCCTCTTTGATCACTTCACTCACTTTTGTTCAATATTCATCACGAAAAAGTGATTCTATCAAACAAAAGTTATATTCACTTATATAAAGTAAAATTATCTATTCTCGATAATTTTTAATAATATAAATAGAGAAAAAATATATATCAATATATAGAATATCTTAATAAATAATAATAAATAATAAATTTTTCACGTGTTTCACATTCTTTCTCTTAAAGAACACATGACTTTACCGTATCAATGTAACTCGTATATACACGCGAGTGAAATAATTTCAATGTCGTGCCACTGAAGGGATGTTAATTTAAATAAAGTAGACCATGATAGGATTTCTCTCAAGGGTCCTTCCATAATTCGTGCGATGGTATAATTATCCACTATTATAAATTTTTGCCAGTTCTCTGCTTCGTACATTAATAAATTTAAATTTAAAATTTATCGTTTATCGCGAATCTATAATGAGTATTTAACGAGGATGTTGAAATCGTTCTAAATGGATTAATATCCTTTTCAACAATATTTGTTTATTTGCACAATTCATTTTTTTTTACACGGAATTTTTTAAAAAGAAATTATCATATCCATAAAATGACACGTAATTCGTTTATTTCGTTTAAATTATAAAAATTTTGTTCAGTGATATTTTACTATATAAATAAATTACAGCGTAGAAATTAATTTTGTTGAGATATAAAGTTATTTGATCTACATACACGTATAGTATTTTATAGAGTATTTTATGGATATTTTAAATTTTTTCTTCATTTAGTGTCATTATCCAATACAATTGCAATTGTACAACTACATGCATATGGATATACGTATATTAGATTATTGATAGAGGTTATGGAACTTGTTAAAGGTTGAGTAAATCCTCACGTTTCACTTGTCAAAGACTAGTGAAGATAACTAACTGGTGGAAAATGAAATCATGTACACAGCTCTTTCTGTTGTGCGCGAAACACGAAAATTTATCACTTCGATTTATCACATGCTTATATTCCTCTTTTTATTATATTTATTTATTCCTTGCCTTTCAATATCATAATATTGGAAAAGGTCGAGTGAATAATAAATGGAAATTTTATTTCGAAAGATTGAAACAATAGATAGGAGAAATAGATTTGGTAGAACAGATTAAAACGTTCCCTTCCATTTCGTCCAAGATTCAATAAGTTTTTGTCTAGCTGGCTAAATAGCGACTTTTTAAAACGACCAGCCGAGAACAAAAGAATTAAGAGAGCTACATGTCGATTCCAACGCTCGTTGTATCGGAAATATCATGTTTGTTACCCGTACACAGCTTTGACGATTCTCTCGGCCTTTCTATCCCAACAATAACGCTTTCCGATATTGTTTGGCGCAAACAGACTTATAGCCAATAATTTTTTCAAGAGTGAAACGTGCAAATTTTATATTTCAGATAGTGACATAGATGCTTCTTTAAAGCTTCATTTATTTAAATAATATTTTACAATCAATTATTTTATTCAATGCAAATTTTATATTTTGTAAGGATTTATATTTGAAAATAAAATTCTCTAGAGTTGTTCTTTGTCGATGACTACTTTATCGAGAGTGAAAATTAGTGCAGGATAATCATAATCTTGATGCAACGCTCTCTAGTGGAAAATTTTTGCAACATAGATATTTTTGTGAAGTTTTATTTATTTAAATTATGGCTTTTAACTATCTTACAGTTAATCATTTTTTTTAATAAATTTTTATATTTTGCAAGGATATTTGAGAGATAAAACTTTTGAGAATTACTATCGAGAGTTTTTACTACTTTTAATATTTTTTTTTAATAAATATCGCATCCGAAATAAAAATTAATGTAGGACAATGTAATGTAGGACTTCGAATGCAATGCCCTCTAGTGAAAAATTTTTGCAACAATCAAATATCATTATTTCACTTAAAACGATTTTGAAATAAAATGTGTATCAAAAAACGATAGTCAAGGTCAGTGTAATAAAGGTCTATTTGATGAACATTCCTCGACGTCGGACCTCGAACTACTTCCGTTACCCTTGGGAATCCTGTTCAGGGACGAACGTATTATGAAAGCATGTTAAGCGTCTTGTCTTTGCATTTTTGAATCTAATGAAAAATTTAAATTTATCACTTCTTTTCTCTTCATTGTATCAATATTAAAATTTTACTCTTAAAAATATGCACGTTTGCAATAACGTAAAAAAAAAAAAAAGAATTTAAGAATAAAAAAAAAATTTCAATTCCAAATTTTCTTCAATCGACAATGTTGAATATAAATAATGGCAAACAATTTGAGATAAATATGTCGAGAGAACGCGAGTTAGTTATCCTTCAGTTCATTATGCGTTAATGTGTCTTAACTAGTTATATCAAGATCTATGGATCCATCGAAGCGTTCCAATTATTCTCTCGACGAACAAAGACAGAGTTTATTCGTATGAAACATTAAAAGGGTTTGTTTGCCAGAATGCACTATTTTAAGATACACAATAGTTTATTAATAGGAACTTGTGAAACAATTATAACCGATGCGTTCATTCTAAAATCGATTGAAAAAGTATCAGATTTTTTTAAAAAAATAACCATCTCTAATTCATGAATACTTTGTTACAGATTCTTCGAATTTGAATAAATATATAATGTACGCGTTAAAACAAATATTATAGCCGGTCTTGGTGAAATCAACAGGTAATACTTTCAAATAAAAAAAAAACTTATATAAAATGAATATATATGCATATACTTATATCTGTGATATTTAAAGAATTTTCAATATTCATCAGTCAATATTTAAAGAATTCACCTTCGTTCAAATAATTTCTAACATATTTCTACCATTTTTTCTTTTTTTAATATAAAAATATAGATAAAAATATAATTCAATTTCAATTTACAATTACAAATTCAATTTTACAAAAATATGACATTTCAAATCATATTCATTGCACATGTGTGCAAATTTTCAAATTTTGAAGTATAATAAACATCCTCGTTCACTCTTTTATTAATTTTAACAATCGAAACGAAGCATGATCCCCCGATTGAAAATTGTCAAAAGTGGGATGATAAAAATAGGAAATCGATTGGTTTGCATAATGAGTCGTTAACAAGATTTACGATAGTTTTCAGGGGAAGGAGAGCGTATCGTTCGCTGGAGAAGAGCTTTACCGCGCGCAGTAAGGACGATCGATGCAGCCACCGGTACAACCAGCCGCCCCCAGATCTCACGACCCCGTGTTCCTCTCTCTCTCTCTCTCTCTCTCTCTCTCTCTCTCTCTCTCTCTCTCTCTCTCTCTCTCTCTCTCTCTCTCTCTTTCCCCATTGCGTAGCGTCGCCACCATTTTCTCCACCATTCGACTTCCTATTTTTCCTTTCCTTGTCACAATACTGTAAGTGGTGAACAGTCTTTTCACTCTCCTTAACGTTATTGTGCATTTCAATACTCGGAAGTATTTGTCTTTTATCTTGTTTTTCTTTCATTCCTATTCCCATTTCAAATCTATATAGAGGCAATTTTTCTCTTAGCAATCATTGCAATGCCAGAGTAGTATGGAATAAATAGGTATTTCTTCTTTACTGCCTTATTTTTCTTTTACATATTGCTGTATTTTAAAAATCTTTGGAGATAATTTTTTTTTCTTTTTTTTTGTTTAGCATTTGTTTGCAATAATACAAACTTTCTCTTTTAACTGCAATACAGTAATGCAGGATTAGGTAGATATTTATTCTTTACCTTATTTTTCTTTTATCTATTCCTATATTTTAAAGAGGCAATCCTAAGGGGGAATTTTTATTTTGACAATCATTGTAATATCTTAGCAGTACAAATTTTCTCTTTTACTTTTTCTTTTTCATGTATTGTTACATTTTAAAAACAATTTTTCCTTTTAAAAATGATTGCTATAATAATAGTATGGAATTATATATAAATAGATATTCGCTTTTTATCTTATTTTTCTTTCACTCATTCACTTATATTTCAAATTTTTAGAAACAATTTTTGAAAGTGATTGTAATGTTATAATAATAGCGTACTAGATATGAATTAATTAAAAAAAAAAATGTTAATTTTCAAAACCATCAAACATTGTAGTATTTATTTTCAAAAGAATATTTTACTTCACGACTTTTAAACTTTCTTTATTCTTTATATATTTATCTTAATGAACTACTTGAATATCTTATATATACATCTTCCAAGTTTAAATGCTATTATTTATCTATTTCTCGTTACAAAGTTTTTTGCTTCTTTCTTCCTTAGTTTAAGAACCAATTTTTATTTTCCCATTTTTATCATTTCTTCCCTTGATGAAGCTATTTAAAGTTTTGCCTACACCAGTTTTAACTATTTTTTTTTTCCCTCACATAATGCTATATTTTTTTCTTTTTTTTTTATTTTTTAAATCTTCATACGCTTCATTCTCTTCGATAATTTCATGCTATATTCTAAGAAAAAAGTAACCTTTAACCATTCTCTCTCTTGGGTATCCCCTTTTCACCGTTTTTGTTTTTCAACATTCTACATTCCACTCGTGCCTTCTTCTTTTTCGCAGTTCGATTTAACCCACTTTCCTTTCTCCATGGTATTTTATGTAATTTATACCGTTTCTCTTTACACCTAACCCTCTTCTTCTTCTTCTTCTTCTTCTTCTTCTCAAAATTTTTACACTTCACACTTTTTTTCATTTCATATATTTCCTTTCTACATTTTTCCAATTGAAGAATTTGTAGGAAAAACAATCTTCTCAATTTTATTAGATGATTTGATTAAATGTAATAACACGATTAATATTTTAATAAAGAAATTAAAAGAATATAAGGATAACAAATTTTCTGTTTCAGAAAAATTAATGAAGAAGAAAAAAAGATTAAAAAAAAATTGTTTCTATTTCGAACATTTCAATCGTAATTACATAATGTTAAATATTAAAGAAACGATGATACAAAATCTATCTTGCTTCGAGTTTTTCCGTTATCATCTGCAAATGAATAAAATTTAATCACGGTATATGGTTTAAGCAACCGTTATTTAAAACAGCATTTAATTGCTTTTACCG